GAGGAATAGGAGGAATAGGAGGAAGAAGAAGAGAAGGAAGAAGAGAAGCACACCAAATTTACACATGATTGGGGATTTGTTGGCGGTTTCCTGTGGCACAACGCGTGCGACGGCATACTTCATCAAAATTATCCCGAACAACCCCACCACGAATATTGGAAATTGAAAATTGCACCGCGGGGGACTCTACTATGCAAACCCCCGCGAGTAACAATCACAGAACTACGTGTTCAATATATATATATATATATATATATATATATATACACGTTTATTTATTTTTTTCCGGAATTCCGTACCTTTCTGAATTACTTTTTTCGAATTGAACCATTGGAACCATTGAGGGGCAACATTGATTTTGATTTGGTTTTTGTTTCCCCTGTGGTTGGGCGTCTTGCGTTTTGCTATTGATTTTTATGTTGGCCGTTTCGGCATGGGAATTCCGGATCCCTGAATCTGGAAACATTTGATCAGAAAAACTGATGGGAAGCACAGCGCCGCGCGAATGCAGCGCAAACGCTGTGCTGGAAAGGCGCGGCAATTCATGCCCTTTGCACGGACGAGAATAGACGAGCCCCCGTGCGAACCCCGATCCCGCGCGGGGCGCGTTCCCGTTGACAAAGGCTCAACCGGGAAACTGTTTCTTATGCAAGATTTCCTGCCGATCGGCTGCTCCTTCGGATGAGGCCCAGATACACGGAGAAACCGTTAATTGGCCCGCAGGCCTCGATAATGATGTTTTCGCAAGGAGTCCTAAGCGGTGTGCGCATTTTCGGGTCGTTCGAACCGGAGCTGGAATTTTTTTCCGGCGCAAATGCCATGGCATTTGGCCACTTTCAGGTCGGCCGGTAAACTTTTCGGGTCGTCGTATGACCAAACCCGAAAGCTGTATTTGAAGTGATCCTATGCCGTTTGCTCATTTTCGGGTCAGTACACCGTTTGGGATTTAACATTTTTAATCGGGAAGGGAACCCGATCCCGCGACCCCAGGCGGGGGTTAGGCTCTGCCCTTTCATTGTACTGGGCCCCTCCGGCCAAACGGGGCGCTGGGCTGCCCATCGGCGCGCCGGCTCTGCCCTCGCGGCATCGCCCCCCCGTCCGCTCTCGGGCCCCGCAGGTCTTATCCTGCGCGCGCCACCCCAGATGGCCGCGGCGAGCGCGGTGGCGAAATCGGGGAAACTTTCGGACCGGCGCAGTGGTATCTTTAAGCGAAGCCCCCCCAACTAAAAACACACAGCAAAACGCATGCCCTGCACGGTCCTTGCGTTCGAATGCCCATCAACGCTTCGAGAATTCATTCCGATTTGGGAAGCACGGCGCCGCGCGAATGCAGCGCAAACGCTATGCTAGAAGGGCGCGGCAATTCATGCCCCCTGGACAGGCGAGAGCAGCCGCGCCCCCGTGCGAATCCCGATCCCGCGCGGGGCGCGTTCCCGTTGACAATGGCTCGCCCAGGAAACAGTTTCTTGTGCAGGAAGTCCTGAACGGTCTGCCCATCGGCTGCTCCTTCGGACGAGGCCCAAAACCACCAAGAAACCGTTGTTGATAAGAAATTCTAAGCAGTTTGCCCATGCACGGTTTCTTCGGAGTGGGCCCGAAGACCTCGAGAGTGTGTGCGCATTTTCGGGTCGTTCGAACCGGGCCTGAAATTTTTTCCAGCACAAGTCCCATGGCATTTGGCCACTTTCAGGTTGGCCGGTAAACTTTTTCGGGTCGTCATATGACCGAACCTGAAAGTTGTTTTCGAGGAAGTCCTATGCCGTTTGCTCATTTTCGGGTCAGTACACCGTTTGGGATTTAACATTTTTAATCGGGAAGGGGAACCCGATCCCGCGACCCCAGGCGGGGGTTAGGCTCTGCCCTTTCATTGTACTGGGCCCCTCCGGCCAAACGGGGCGCTGGGCTGCCCATCGGCGCGCCGGCTCTGCCCTCGCGACATCGCCCCCATCCGCCCTCGGGCCCCGCGGGTCTTATCTTGCGCGCGCCACCCCAGATGGCCGCGGCGAGCGTGGTGGCGAAATTGGAGAAACTTTCGGATCGGCGCAGTATGAGTGAGGCGAGTTGACGACATCCCATGTCATCCTCCCTCGTAATTTCTTGCGCGGGGGATTGTTCTACGTTCAAAATGGTTTCGGTAAGATGAATACTTTTGAATTAAATTCAGCTCATGTTTGTGATTTATCCGGGGAGGTGGTAAAATCCCTGCCGTCATTTGTTCGATCCATGGTGTCCAAAGTGGCACTGAAAACTCCAAGAAAGATTTGCACAATAAATGCCAGAGACCCGGAGACCGTCCCGATAGACCCGGAAAGATTTCAAACAAGCCAATATCTTCCCTTCAGCGTTTGTGAAAGCCTATAGCAAAGAACCCTTGAAATACTTGTTTTGCGGAAGTTCTTCATCCGTCTTGGAACGTCTTAGTGTCACATGCGTTGGAAACCACATGCAAACGAACAACACATATCAGATCAAAAGGATCGTGGGAAAAACGTCTCAACAAACGGGTCAGCGCGGAATAAAAATACAAAAACTGTTCCGCTCCGTCTTCTTGCTTCGTGTGCGTAGTATTTTCCTTCCCTATTGGCTGGGTTCATTGTATCAACCAAGAAATCATGCAACACTGATTTGCCACGACTATTTATTTGCGAACTGTGTGATAGAAAATCCATGTGAGCAAGCTCTTGCTATAGAGATATCTATATGTGTGCAAGCGTGCGCAAACATAATTTCGACGACCGGTCAAAATACATCAGGTCATCGTCAGGTCGCCGGGATCGCTCTGCTGTTTTTTGCTGCCAAACTAGTTCAACCCTGCTGGGCAGCGCTGGCAATCCACAATGCGCGGCCCCCCTCCACCCCAATGCCGTTCGCTCTCGGATGGCAATTTCACGCGCCCCATGGCCTGCTTCGCCAAGCGTATACAATCATATTATTATTACCGTTCGTACTTTGATTCGTATTAGTATTATTATTATCATCATTATTACTCTTATTATTATTACTCGTGTGTCGGACCCAAGCTACATGCGACACATTTCGAGATTGACATTGCGTAATATTTCACGGACATCGTCGAATATGATGGTGTGTGTCTACAGGAGCGCAAACAAATTAAAACGTCCCAATATGCATTGCGGCTCTTGCGAGCCACTGGGCCTGAAATTCTTTTCTCAGGGCGAGGTCCAGAAGAGTATCCTGTGTTGACACAACTGGTTTGCCCGATTTTGGCAATCACGGGTCCGACATACATATGTACGGAAAACCGACGCTACAACCATGAATTGGAACGGCAGCATATTATTGAGGAAGGTGCGCATACAAGCATCTTAACACATGTGGTTTAACTGCTGGTCTTCGGGCAGACCAGCAAACGCATGACAGTCAATACGCGTCTGTATGTACGCAAGGTTCGGGGAGACGTAAGACCCGGGTACGGGGGACTCGGAAATCCCCGACGAGGTCGTCAAAAAATGACGAGGCCGAGCCTGCATTTTGACGAGGCCTCCCGCTGCAGACATCCCACGAAACTCCTCCTCGTCAAAATCCGAGTCGCGGTCGTCAAAAAACGATGGCGAACCCGAGTCCCGGCAAACCCGGGTCTTACGCTCCCCCGAAAGGTGTCGCAGTGGTTATTGCCGTCGTGTGGTCATGGGTCGTGGTTCAGCGGGCTGTGGTGGTAGATTTGTTCTCTTCGTTTGTCGGTCCCCAATAATTGCAGCGCCCTGTCAAAATCTGGAGGCCCTGGGTTTGCAACCTCGGAAAACATCAATACGGCAACGCGATCGGCGGTAGGCGCCCGATAGCTCATCCGCACGGGCCTGGGCGGCGTGGGGCCATCGGGCACCCACCCGTCGGCGATCAGTGGGCGATTGGTGGTCGATGCGCCCCCGCCCTGGATTTGGACGCCCGAAATGGGCACGGAAACAATGCGTACAATGCCCAACAACAGCGGCCGCTGTTGGGCAGGCGGCCTTCTGTCTCAAATGGGCGCCGGCCGCGGCGACACCGACAGCGAGTCCTGTCCAAAATGAACAGGAACTGCTGTTGGGCATTGTACCCATTCTTTCCGTACCCATTTCGGGCGTCCAGACTGGAGCCCATCCTCCCTCCCTTCGCGTCGCCCCTGGTAGGAGCCAGGGTCTCACCCTGTGGCGCCAAGCGTGCTGTGCCCACTCCAGGCCGGGACAAGCCCCGATGCCTCTGCTCGTTCGCGCGGGCCCGGGGGCGCCTCCTCGGGAGCTCGGCGGTGGGGCGGGGGCACCGCCGCATCTCATCTGTCCAGCGGCGGCGTGGCCATGCGGCCGTCGCTTGGCGATGCCCTCGGTAATTCCTGGCTGGGTTCCAGTGGGAAGCTTTGTGCGATCCCTTGCTGGGCCAACCCTGGCAAAAAGGAATCGTTGCACCTCCTCCTCTTCGGCCTCGTCGTCGCATTTCAAGGCTCGCTGGCAATACACAACAAAACGTGCACCAATTCTGAGGGTTGGGACCGGTCAGGTTTCCACTCTTTTCGGTGGCATCTCATGGGTTCTTGGCTCTTGCGAATCGGCGCTTTTACAGGCTAGATCGACTCTAGATCGACGCTGCACCGACGCTAATTGGACGCTAGCCGACGCTAAATCGGTGTTATCTCATCGATCACCAGGCGCTAGTCGACGCTAACGCACTCCACATACGGACCTACCAGACGCCTGCTCCGATGATGGTATCGTGCCGATAGTAAAACGCAGGTTAGAAATCGGTGCCGATCGCCTGAAAGGTCGTCAGAGAGCTAGCTGCACGCGGAGGCATGGAGCACAGAGTGAGGCGATACGAATCAACCTCAAAGCGTATCAACGCAACCGCTGGTAATCCCAAGTTGTCCAATAATCGTGGGTTTCTAGGCCTGTGGCCCATGCCGCCACCGTGCCTCGTCAGCCTCCACAGGGGATCCGGGGAGGCCTCTGGCGGGCCTCCGTGGGGGGGGGCGTCATGGGTGGGAAGAGTCCTGGACAACTCTTTTAGATGGCGGCCGCACTCGGATGAGGCCCCCTCGCAGCTGATGCGCGGGGCCGCTCCCAGGCTCTCAAGCCTAAGCCCCCAGGGTCGCCTCCGACAGCCGGACAGCATCGCCGGGTCGGGCGGAAGGCGCGGCCGCGGACTCTCTCCACTGCCAGAGAGAGGTCTCCCTGGGACAGCCCCACTGTCCCCATGTCCGCTGCGCATCCGCTTCTGCTCTGATGATAAGATGTGGGCGATTTCGGGAACCCTGAACCCAAAAACGTTTTCATCTCTTGGGGGCGCACCTTCTGCCACCTTCCGCCAAAAACGTTTCTACTTCCGCCACCTTCCGCCGAGCTTCCCCTTCCGCCGAGCTTCCGCCGGCTTCCGCCAGCGGAGGCGGCCTCGTTATACTTGGGCCGACCTTCCGCCGCGGAAGAGATGACAACTCCTTCGATCCTCGAAGGCAGGGCCCTTTTTGGAACGCCCCACATGCGGACAGCGGCGCTACAAGCCGACTTGAGTCCCAGGCGCGGAGAGGCGAAGCTTTAAGCTGTGATCTGCACGGTCCGCGCCAAGCGGACGGGAGTCCTCGCAAGCCTCACTCCAACCTTTTGTCGATTCCAGACAGGACACCAGTGGCCAACCGGTAGCCCTCCAGCGCGAACCCCTGAGTCTGATCCATCACCGTCTTGGCTGCCTCGACCCCGTTCTCCTTCACCCACGCCTGAACGATTCTGATGCCCTGAGTCTTGGGCAACACCAGGAACAGCACCAGCAGAATCTGCACCTCGAAATAAACGTCCATGAACCACGACAGGACGAAGAAAGGGATTCTAAAGGCCCAGTCAAAGTAGAAGAACACCCACGACATTGCCACGTACGCGACCCAGTAGAACAACCATGTCTTCTGTGGTGCGTCAGGTCCGTCCGTCTTCTCCTGCAGCGCGTGGAACGTCTGGACAGCCGGCAGGGCGACGGAGACGATCGCCCAGAGCACCACGTTGACAAAATGCGGGAGCATGGCTCCGGAAAGCCCCGGAGGCGGGGCGCTGTGGCTGCAGGGGCGAGCGCCAGTCTAGCTTCGAGGGGTCGAGGGATCGAGGGATCGAGAATTCGAGGTATCGAGGATCGAGGTATCGAACCTCGCTGCCCCTGGCTCGAAGCTCTCTGACCCTTCGCGAGAGGTGTGAGACGCGCCGACATGCTGGAGCCTGTTTTCGATTCCCTGCCTTCCGCGCTCCCCTCACCTAAAGTGTTATTCATGATGAGAGTCAATCCCAGTAACTACGGTGAGGGCGTTGCATAAGGAACCATTCGGTAGGTCTGGAAGCCGGAGGACATCCAGTCGTGAATTGGCCATCGATATCACCACCGTCCTCATCAGATAAGGAAACCTTCAGGGTCTGAAGCCTCATGGGCACTTTCCTTGACTTGCACCCCCACCGTGGCCACAATTCTACAAACTAGCCACAATCCCAACAATGAACCACACTTCGCATACATGTCAATCAGTAGCCACGACCTTATTGACCAACCACGTGCTGCTCAGCCCGCCCAACCCCAGCTCCGCCCTGGGCCCGCGACGAGCGCGCTCACTGAAACGCGGGAGCCGAACCAAGCACGGCACCACTCGGGGACGCACAAACCCGCACTAATCCGGGAAGGAGGGAGGAGGAGGTGGGGGAGAAGGAGGAGGAGGAGGAGGAGGAGGGGAGGAGGAGGAGGAGGAGGAGATGGAAGGAGGAGGCGGATGTGGAGGTGAGGAGAGGAGGAGGTAGGAGTGAGGAGGGAGGAGGGAGGAGAGGAGGAAGGGGAGGAGGGGGAGGAGGAGGGAGGGGAGGGAGGAGGAGGAGGGAGGGAGGGAGGAGGAGGAGGTGGAGGAGGAGGAGGAGGAGGAGGAGGAGGAGGAGGAGGAGGAGAGGAGGAGGAGGAGGAGGAGGAGGAGGAGGAGGAGGAGGAGGGAGGAGGGAGGAGGGAGGTAGGGAGGAGGGAGGGACGAGGGAGGAGGGAGGAGGGAAAGCCCACACACGGGTCGGCCGGGGCCTGGCCGCGAACCCGGGCCGGCAACGAAGCGGCTCCCGAACACCGGCCCACGGAGGGCGTCGAAGGGGAATCGTCCCTGCGTGGCTCCCAGGAGGAGGAGGGGGAGGAGGAGGAGGAGGAGGAGGAGGAGGAGGAGAAGGACGAGGAGGAGGAGGAGGAGCGACAGGAGGAGGAGGGAGGAGGAGGGAGGAGGGGGAGGTAGGAGGAGGACGAAAGAGAGGACCAGGGATTCTCAAAACTTTCTGGTCTGCGCTTCCTGGGCGCATCTGTGAATCTCCCCCCTCCCTCGACCGCAGCTCCTCCTGGTCCTCCCCCTGCTCCCTCCTCCCTCCTTTTCTCTCCTTCCCCTTCTTTTCTCTCCTGTTTCATTATCCTCCCTCTTCCTCCTTCCTCGTCCTCCCTCCGTCCTCCTGGCTTCCGGCTCCTCGTTCCTCCTCCTCCTCCTCCCCTCCTCCCCTCCTCCCTCCTCCCTCCTCCCCTCCTCCTCCTTGACCTCCTCCATCCTCTCCTCCTCGTCCTCCTCCCTCCTCCATCCTCTCCTCCCTTCCTCCTCCTTCCTCCTCTCCACCTCTCCTCCCCTTCCTCCCGTCCTCCCCTCCCTTCCTCCTTCGCCTCCTCCTATCCTCCTCCTCCTCCTCCTCTCCTCCCCCTCCTCCCTCCTCCTCCTCCTCCTCCTCTCCTCCTCCCCCTCCCCCCCCTCCCCCTCCCCCTTCCCCCTCCCCCCCCCTCCACCCCCTCCTCGTTCTTCTCCTCCTCCGTCCTCCCTCCTCCGTCCTCCCTCCCGCAGTCCCTCCTCCCCCCTGCCCCTGGGCGCCGCTCGGGCCAGCCACCACAGCGCCCTCCCCACCAGCAGCAGGTCACCGCGGTGCCCCCACCCCCTCCCTGGGAAGGGACCTGGGCAGACAGGGCCATTACACGCTGCGACGACAAGGAAGACGAGGAGGAAGAGGAGGAGGAGGGCGAGGAGGAGCAGGAGCACGGGGAGGAGGGGGATGAGGATGATAAGGGCGGCACGTGGAAGGACGCCGAGGACGAGGCGAACGAGGACGACGACAAGATGTACGAGGATTAGCATGCAATGGCATGGGCTTCTTGGGCGCCGCCCCTTCCCTCTCGCCCAGGGGCTTTGGCTGGCGAGTGGGCTGGGACCCTGAATCTTGGGAGACCTGGTCGACAGCTCCCTGGCCTGAGGCGGAGGATCTAGTGGGACCCGACGTGGCGGGAGCTTGAGGATGGTAGATGAGCGAGACGGAGGTGGAGGGGGAGCAGAGCACGGAGGAGGAAGGGGAGGAACAGCAGGAGCAGGAGGAAGAGCAAGAAAGGCTACAGAGGAGAAGAGAGAGGAGGAGCAGCAGCAGGAGCACAACCAGCAGCACGAGTCTCTCCCCCCACGCGTCGAGTTGTGTCGGGCACAGCCCCGGGCAGACCCATACGTCCCCGTGTCGACCACCTCCCCAAGATCGGTTCTTTCATCCCGGGTCGTCTTCTGACGGCCCTGGGGCCCGGCGAGGGCCCGCGGAGGCCGCACACTGTGAACGAACCTCCCGTCGCGAGCCCTTCGCGACACGGAGAGGTCTTGGGAAGAGCCCACTCGAAGCCGTCGCGAAGGCCCCGTCTGCTCACAGGCCCTGGCCCCCCCCCGGGCCCTCGAGGGTGCCGCCCGCTCCGCGGACGGGGCGCACGGCTGAGCCGGCCGGTGGCTGCGCGAGAGGCGGGCGCGGGGGCGAAGGGGAAGAGGGATCTACACCCAGACATGCTCGCGTCGTGAATCGACAAGGATGGGCGTCCTTTTCGCCAATGTCGGCCTCTCGGGGCCCTCACTAGGCCCGAGGACAGACAAACAACGACCCAGGATGAAAAACCGGCCCGGGGGGAAAAGGTCAGAACTTGTGGGGGCCGCGCATGGGACAAATCAGGACACCGCATGCCTGGGCAGGAGACACGCGCGATACGAAATTCTGCTACCATGCGGATACGAATGCGGGTGCGGATGGAAGAGAAGATCGTGGGCAGCCTGCGAGGTTCGGCCGCAAATTTAAAGAAGCCCGCAGCAAGCGCCAGTCGTCACACGTTACACCACGAACCCGCCGTAGGCGCCGATCATTAGCCAGCACAATGCGTGTTGGTCGCGGGTTGGTCGCGGGTGGGTCGCGGTTGGGTCGCGAATAGATCGCGGGCGGGTCGCGGAGAGGTTTTGTTTGTTGAAATGTCTTTAGAGCATGGAAATTATAAAACAACTGCTCCCAGAAGCGGGAACAAAACGGCTCGAGCCGGGATCGGAACCACAACAGGAAAAGCACGGGCGACGAACCCAGAAAACAAACAGGCGCCACTGCCGTCTGGGATTGTCTGCTGCTCTGGCGGTGATGTCTTCGCTGTCGCCGCCCGTCGCCGCCTCGCGCTGTTTTTACTTAAATAAAAGATATCCCCCCCCAGATTATCCGAACGCCTACTTGTATTGTAATTCGCAAATGGCACCACGTCCTTGCTTATATTCTATATGGAAGCATACCATCCCAGCCAGGCGGGTATCGACAGGCCCCTTCAGTCCTTGTAGAAAAAGTATGCGCGCGCACTCGTTTATCAAAATCATCAGGTAACACGAACACCGAGCAATACTTGCGACGAAATCCACACGCGCGCGTTGTCGCGCGCGTGCCGAACTCGTTCAAACATTAAGGGGTCAGTGAATATTTCAAAATCGAATGTCCCGAAAACACAGAAACATTGGTTTCGCAACGCGCTCTGGCAAAATCTGCGCGCGCGCTGTCGCGGATTCTTTGAACAATCGTGGGCTGCCATGCCAACGTGTTCATCAAAAACGACCAAACGGGCCTCTGGTGCGCGCGTGTCGAAATCATTCGAACACCCTTGCGCGCGTGCTGGGGGCACGGTCCCTATCAAATAAAATCATGCGGGCCACCCGCGCGCGTCGGCCGACCGCGCATGTCGAAACCCTTCCAAAACATCATCACCGACGCGAAGGCACCGCCATCGTCATCGGCGTGACCAGCATCGGCGCCGATACTGGCCTTGCCGTGATAAGTGTCACCATCGTCGCCAACATTGGTACTTTAATCGTCGTGTCTGCCGTTGTCGACGTGGCCACGTTACCGCGCCCGCCCGAATCACCGACTCGCACTGATCAGTGCGGCCAGCGAGACGCGCTCGAAATGCCCAGCGGTCACCACCACCGCAGCCGCGTCGGTCGCGCCAGACTAGCTGGCCGGTCTGCGCGCGAGCCTGTGCGCGCTAGCTTGGCCGCAGCGATGCGCCAGCCAGCGCCGAGCAGTCACCGCGATCGCCGCCGCAAGGGTTTTGCCAAACCAAGTTGCGGGTGGGTGGGATGGTTGCGCGAGCAAGGGAGGTGGTCACGTGCGAAGTAAGTTAATCAATTTTTCTTTCTTAGAAAAAATGCACTCTACCCCCCCAGGCGTTATCCGCCCCCCTTTCGGGTACGTAAATCGTATACGATTCTGACCGCATGTCCATCCTAAATATGAATTTACACTATCCCAGGGAGGCCTGTATCGGTTCCCCTGAGGTTCCCTTGTAAGAAACGATACACGGGGACATTTTTTCCTCTAGCATAGAACTTGTCACGAATCCCTTGCAACGAATGGGACGAAGCGCGCACGCGCGAGTCGTCGCGCGCGCATGCCGAAATCCTTCAAAAACCTTCGGTGTCGGAAGGATTTCGCAATCGAGCTTCCAGAAAAAAATACAACAACACAGGGTTTCGCAACACCGATGTGCTAAGACAGCTTACACGCGAGCTCTTGCGAAATCTTAAGAAAACCATAGTGTTTTCAATATTTCCACAACATGCTACCAAACGGGCTCCGCGCGCGCATGTCGAAGCCTGTCGAACGCCCTTGCGCGTGTGCCGTCGCGAGAATCCTCTGCAACAAATGGGACGAAATGCAGACGCGCGCGTATGCCGAAATCCTTCAAAAACCCATCGGTTCGGAAGGCTTTCGGCGTCGTGTGTCCAAAAAACCGACAAACACACAAGGTTTCGCAACACGTATTTTCAACAAAAGCGTGCGCGCGCGCGCGCTCTTGCGTCGTCGTCGTCGTCGCCTACGTCGTGCTCTGTCTTTCGTCGTGTTCGTCGTCGTCGTCCTCTTTGGCGTCGTGGTCGTTTCCGTCGTCGTTGTCGCCGTGGTCGTCCTTCCTCCTCCTCCCTCGTTGTCGTCGCCGTCGTCCGTCGTCGGCGTCTCGTCGTCGTCCCTACTATTTCGTCGCCGTCGTCGTCGTCATTGTCGTCGTCGTTGTTGTCGTCGTCGTCTTCCCTCCTCCCTGTTCGTTGTCGTCGTCGGCGTCGCCGTCCTTCCTCCTTCTTCGTCGTTCGCGTCGTCACCATCCTACCTCCTCCCTCGTCGTTGTCGTCGTTGTCGTCGTTGTCGCCGTCGTCGTCCTCCCTCCTCCCTCGCCGTCGTCTTCGTTGGCGACGTCGTCGTCGTCTTCGTCGTCGTCGTTGGCGTCGGCGTCGTCGTCGTCGTCGTCATCGTCGACGTCGGCGTCGTCGTCGTCGGTGTCGTCGTCGTCGTCGTCGTTGTCGGCGTCGTCGAAGTCGTTGGGGATGTCGTCGGTGTCGTCGTAGTCGTTGTCGGCGGCGTCGTCGTCGTCGTTGTCGCTGTCGTCGTCGCGTCGCTGTCGTTGCCAAGAGCCATTTGGTACCCACCGTCACGGTGTTAAGAGATTTTGCAAACCAAGTTGCGGGCGGGTGGGTGGGAACTTTGCGCGAGCAGTGGGATGGATAACTCACTGCGAACAGAAATTACTTGCACCGCGTAGATCGCGCCGCATGGGTTGCACCACATAGACCGCTCTTCACATATAACACCACTTAGATTGTAAGGCGTCGACTGCACCACGTGGACTGAAAGACGTCGGTCGCGCCACATAGGTCTCACAACATCGATTGTACCGCGTCGGTTGCACCGCGCATGTTGCAGCGTGAGCATTGAACAGCATAAGTGCGATCACTTCGAACGGCATGAACTCCACCACATCAACTGTGCCGTATAAATTGCGCCACATAGAGACAACATAGATCGTGCAAACTCGCTGGCTTCACAACGTCAATCGCACGACATATACTGAACAACCGAAGTTGCACATGTGAGACGCCACTACACATGCTGCATCACGTGCACTGCGCCGCATAGATATCCGCCTTTCTACCGGGATTGAGCCGCCCCCTACCCGCATTGCAAGTTATATGAGATTATGCCCCATCTGAACTTTGAACCCGTAGCATCCCAGGCAGGCCAATTACGCTCCCCCCTCATCTTCTGCAACAGATACTCTGTGCGCGCACTCTTTTATCAAGAGCCATGAATTGTCAAGCACCCCGTGAAAACAACAAAACACGCGACGAAGTGCACGCGAGCACGTTGTTTCGCGCGCATGCCGGATTCCTTCAGAAACCCCAGGTAGCGCAGGGATTTCACAATCGAGGGAACATAATAATAATAAAAAAAAAACACATGGATTCACGACGACGTGTTTCCGATTAAACGGGCACTCGCGCTGTATTAAGACAACCATGGGTTTGCCAGCGCTTCCATAAACTGCTACCAAGCGGGCCTTTCGCGCGCGCGCGTCGAAGTCGCTCGAACGCGCGTGTGCGCGTTCTGTCGCAAGGACCCATTGCAAAATAACGGGGCGAACTCCGCGCGCGCGCGTCGTCGCGCGCGCATGCTGAAATCTTTCAATAACAATAGGTTTCGTAAGAACGTCAAAAGTCGAGTGTCCCGAACAAATGCCCCGCCCACAGTCGCAGCGCGCGGAATCAACCGTCTCGAGAACGGCGCCCGCAGGTGAGCGCGACGACTGGTGGCCCGAAGTTGCCGTCGAAGTCGGGAGCCAGACGCAGGGTCCTGACTCTGTTCGATGCGACCCTGGACAACGGCGCGATCGAGTTCAGCAACTCGGAGTTGCACGTCGTTCGACCAGCGATGGAACGAGGCCGGGTGGGTCGAGCGCGCTGGGCCGCCGCGGATCTCAATGGCGTCTGGGGCCATCTCGTGCGAGGCCGACAGGCGCTCGGCCGTCGCGCAGTCCTGGCGCCAGAGCGCGCGTGCGACCGCGCGCGCCAACTGTCGGAGGGCGCGGGGGTCCCGAGGGCGCCGAAAGGCCAGGATATCACGGGCGACTCAACTAGCCTTTCGCGTGAGCATCTGATATATTCCAAGCCGTCGGGGGGGGGGGGAATGCTTGCAATATGTTCAGCTTCGCGCTGGGCGTGCTAATCCCGAATATGCGTATACATGCGCGATTTCGCAGTGCGCTCAGGGGTGGGTCGATCGCCCCCCGCAGGGGCACGGTGAGGTAGAAATGAGACAACCAATGCGGCATGGTCACTCGCCTTGACCTTCGAAAGCTGCTCAGGTTGGCCTTCCACCCGCGCACTCGAGAATATCTGGGCAACCGTCCATCCAGGCCGTGAGCGCCATAATCTGTCAATGGCGGCGACTGCGTCAGCGTGCTGGTCAAAATGGGTGGCAGCGGCAGGGGGGATCTCAAGAAAGCTAATTATCGAGGGTCTCGCTCCATCTAGGAGCTCGCGCATGAAGGTGTCTAGTGTTCCTTCGGGCCTCTGATGGCTGCGAGAAGCTCAGCTTTTCCTCGCCCGCCAAATGGGCATCGCTTGTGACCGCAGTTAAACGGCCCTCAGGATTAGCTTCAGAAGCGGCCCGGTCCCTGGCTGTATGTTTACACGCCTCCCTAACTTGACTAACAGTTAAGTCGTGGTGATGGGCGTTCCAATGAATGAGCTTGGTATATTCATCACCGATCACAGCTCCTAAACCGCCGCCAGGGATAAGGGGCCCAAGAGGAGGAGGACACGCCA